GGGATCCTGCTACACTTAGTGCACCTGTCCCGTCCATCATCTCCCCTCAAGGCTTCAGGGAGAAGACCACCATCTCCCTGCCTACCGGCACCATTCACACTATAACCGAGGCTAAGACCTGGCCCAAGGTTACCACCGCTCGCAACACTTGAGGGGTAACCTGCAGCATCGCTAGACTGACTAACGCCAGTGCGGGTAGCCTCACTATTTTCGTGAATCTTCTGGCGAAGCTGATCTGTTGCGAGTTCACTGTCCTTAACAGATTCGTGAATCTCGTGGGAAAGCAGATTGATCCTCTGCTCGACGACTTCAGCCTGTTCATCGATGGCTTGCCTCACAATGGTATTGCTGTCAGGAATAACTTCCCTTGCAAACCGTTGAACTATCATACGCATCCTCCCGGCATCAGATTGAGTCGCAACCTCAGCTGCCAGGCGATCGACCTTGTCTTTCGTCTGTCGGCTCTCGTCACTCCATTCCCTTCGCATGGAACTCACCTGACCGTTCAGTACCCTGATTTGGTCAGCAAAGATATGGAACGCCTTCGCGACTGAGCCAGAAACCTCACCCCTTTCGAGCATCTCCTGGATGTGCAACTCGAACATCTCCTTTGCCCTGACGTCACCTGATTCGCCAGAAGACTGAGATCTGAGGGCGGGAGGAGTCGATATCTCGATCCTCTCAGGAGCCCTACTAGCCCCGGCATGCCTTCTTGGGTCATCTACGGGACAATCATCAATCCTGGATGGCCTACTCGGGGTGGATCCCCTTCTCCGGCTATCGCCAGATCGGGGATCAACGTTGGATGCACGTGACTCGGGGGTGGAGTGAATGTGAACATCAGCAGGATCAGGCATCTCCTCATCCTGCGGAGTTGAATCCATTGGTGAGGGGCTAGCCCTCCTCGCCTTTGACCTATCGGTCTCAATGGCCAGGGGTGACGGTCTCTTCGCAGAAGCACTACGTTCCCTAGCGGTCGAGCCCCACTGAGGTGTGAACTCGTTGCTAGACCTAAGTGTTTCAAGGTCACTAGTATCTCGCCCTAACGGGCTAGCGATCGACGGATGATCCTCGATTCCGAGTGCATCGGCAAGCCGGCCATCTCTTGCACCTCTCCCAACGACATCGGCAACCCGCTCGGTGATCCTCGGCGAACCAGTAACCCGGTTCGAGTTCACGTCTCTCTGATCCAACGGACCTCCAAAAGTAATGTTAGGAAAAGGGGGAACATTCGGGGTATCACCAATCGCCGGGGGACCTACCGGTCCCTCACGGTCATGGATAGCCTCCAATCCTCGAAGAACTTCCCGACTGTCCCTGGCTCTCTCTCTCTCGCTTCGGCCGTCCCTGTCAACACGAAGGTCCCTGGCGGCTCCACGAGAGAGGCTCCTGGGCCTCGCAGCATCACGGATCCTAGCACTTCGTCGTGATTGGTGCTCTTCCTCATCACGGCGATCCGCAAATGCGGCATACTCGTCATCATCATTTACCTCAAACTTGGCGGCGGTAGGACTAGTCCTTGCAGCCGCACGGTTGCCTGCACTTCGGCGCGAATGGCTCTCCTCCTCATCCGCAAAATTGTAATCTCCGTCATCATAAGACTCAGATTTGGCAGTAATAGGGTTGGGCCTACCGGCATCAGATCCCTGCTTTGAGCTACTGCCCCATCCTGCGGTCGATTTCAACAGATCATCGTATCCGAAGTCTGAGAACTTCCGCTCCTCGTGCTCATCAAACTGACCTGGATTCTGAGAACCAGTGGATCGGCCCGGGATACCTCCCGGAGCCAGAACCATAGTCCCTGGTCCCTGCGGCCTATTCTCAAACTCATCCGAGACCTGCGACTCACCTGGAACAAGAGATCTCGGAGGTCGAATCGGCATGGCCTCCGGGTCATCCGAATGAGGGCGGGCCATGTCCATCGCCATGCTGATGAAGTCAAAACGTCCACGCCTGTGACCTGATTCAGAGCCACTCCTATCGGACCTTCGTGTCTGCTCGTCATCAGTGGCCTGGCGGAAAATACGATCGTCTCCATCGTCGGCGTACCTGCCACGGCTCCTGGGTGTATCCCTACCGGGATCTTCACCCCTGCGGTCCTGACCTGTCGAACCTGCTTCGAAATCCTCGTAGTCATAGTCCGGTAGGTCCTCACTTGAGCGGAGGCCACCTAGGATGGCCTCCTCATCCACGACGCTCCTTCGAGATCGTGGGGTCGACATAGAGCTTGTAGTTGATGGTCTCAAGCGCGTAGGAAAGTCCTACGGCTGATAACCCGTGGTAATGGGAGAGGTGTTGTCCTCGACCATCTTTGTGGCGCCGGGTCTGTGGTTCAATTCCCGCTGGGGACGCCTACCATGGAGGGGAATCGGCAACTGGTCGGTTGATGGCTGGGTCAGTGGCGGTGCGGGCATGGTGGTTTCCATGGTGGGCGTTCCCAGCATACGGCTGATAACCTGTGGTTCGGGCACGAGCCTGTGCCCAGGCAATGGGTAAGTTGGGGTAAACAAGCCACAAAAGAAAGGTTCCCCAAAACAAACCAATCCCCGGTCCCAAAGATCAGGGTTTCCCACACACCAGAGAACAACAACCAAAAGGAAACAAACCAAACAAGAAAAGGGTTAACCCGCAACCTTGGTCGACAACAGGCCGCACGACTGGTCCCTACCAACCTGGCGGCGGCCCGAGGTCTCTTTCTCCCCCGAGATGCCGTCGGTCGACGCAGGGGTTCGGCGACGCCCATTCGAGGCGCGACGGAACCCAAAACTTGAGCCAAAACACCACAGGTCGGTCACTAACGCGACGTCCCTGATGATGATATTAACCATGGCTAATCACACAAACAAACAAACAAACAAACAAACAAACAACCAAACAAACAAACAAACAAACAAACAACCAAGCAAGCAAACACAAAACCACACACACAAACAAACAAACAAAAAAAGAACAATTGCAAACACAGGTAAACAATAATACAAACAAACAAACTAACAAACTAACTAAATAACAAAAACACAAAAACAAGCAAGACAGCAACAAACAAACAACGCGAGGAGAAACAAACCAACAAAACAATCAATCAACAAACAAGCACAAAGACAACAATCAACACAAACAACAAAGCAAAACACAACACACACACACAAACAACAAGCAAACAAACAAACAATCACTCAAACAACTAAACAAACAAACAAACAAACGAACAAACAAACAAACAAACAAACAAACAAACAAACAAACAAACACACATAATACAAAACAACAAACCCGCAAACAAACACACAACCAAACAAACAACCAAGCAAGCAAACACAAAAACAGACACACAAATACAAAAACAACAATTGCAAACACAGCAACACACGTAAACAATAATACACACAAACAAACAAAGAAACAAACAAACAAGTGAACATATGAACACCTCTCACACACACAACAAACATAACCTCACACACACACAAACCAGCAAACAAACAGACAAACAAATAAACAGACAAACAAACAAAGAAACAAACTAACAAACAAACAAAACAAGCAAGAAACCAACAAACAAACAACGCGAGGAGAAACAAACCAGCAAAACAATCAATCAACAAACAAACAAACCAAATACAACAATCAACACAAACAAACAAAGCAAAACACAACACACACACACACAAACAATCACTCAAACAAACAAACAATCACTCAAACAACTAAACAAACAAACAAACGAACGAACGAACGAACAAACAAACAAACAAACAAACAAACAAACAAACAAACAAACAACCAAGCAAGCAAACACAAAAACACACACACAAACACACCAAAAAAACAATTGCAAACGCAGCAACACACGTAAACGAGAATACAAACAAGCAAACAAGCAGACAAGCAAACAAACAAACAAACACCCGCACACACACAAACACACTCGCACATACCTGGGGACCATACTCTCAGTGCCAGTGGAACCTGATTTGATCTAGCTAATTAACCTCCCAAGAAAGGCTATGGTAGTGGAAGCAAGTACGCCCTCTTGGCATGGAACCCCAAAGAGGTGTTGGACGAAGTCAACTTTGGTCATCTTATCATTCACATGCCATGGCTATGTGACTATGTGCGCACTTCTACATTTAACGTCGCGTGACCAAACCACAAGAAGCCAGCAAGGTTGCAGCGTGAAACCATTGAATGTGACGCCCTGATTGTTGTGAGCGGGCTGCAGGGGGGATTTTTTGTTAACTCACTGTGGTTTTTGTGACCTGATTGAGCTTCCCCACAGTTGACGTTCCTCAGAAGGGATACCGGGATGGGTATACTGGCTGTTTGGGCCTAGCTGCAATGCACACCATCTGCATGTGTCATTCCCATTTGGTCAGAGGCTGATCGCCACATGAAAGGTTCCAGAGTGCAACTTCCGCCGGCCAATTCCAAGCGGTTCAAATTGCTGATCAAACGACCAATGGTTCCTGCGATCGCCTCCTGATGTGGGAATCATGCACAAATCCAAATGACTGGTCTGGAATCCGGGAGCCATCTGTCGGTGCTGGAGGCCTGACACTTCATTGTGGCTCTCAGCTGGCAAGGATCTCTAGCACAGAAGCAAACAGCTTGGAGCGCAACCCAGGCGCATGAAATTGCACTCCGGTTAGGCAGCCATCACCCGGCACCCCACAAAACTTGAAAGGGCAAACCGCAAGTGTCGCAAAGCCACCGCGTCCTCCTCCGACAGAAGAACCAAATTCATGGCACGCCGCGCGTCACATGGCGGAGGCCCAATCCCGCCGGCTCGAAGCCAAAAGCCATACCTCACCGCCTCGAAGCTGCTCAACGATTTGCGAGAGGTGTCCTTTTAGTAGAAGGCTGCGGTTTCCCTGGCAAATGATTTCGGCAAGCCCATCTAAACCAGTGGAACCCATTGATTTACCAAAATAACAAAAGGACAGCCTCTGGGCCTAACACCTCTGGCTCTCGAACTTTCACTGGGCCTCTGGGCCTCTGGCCGGCCGGGCCTTCGGCACGGCATTGTCGGCGCTCGAGGAGCAAGCGCCCCAGAGGCCTTTGTTGCCAGCCTTTGCATCTTTCTCCTGCGGGATGGCCAAATATGGCCACATGGCCCATGAGGTGCACCAGCCCGTGAACCTGAGAGGCTCAACTTCCTGAGAGAGCAAATAGAAAAGGCGGCTCTTGATTATATACACTCTCTCCCTTCGCATGTTTTGCCCGCTGATTGCAGTTCTGGGCACAGGTCACATCCAATGCAAGACCTTCCACCCGCAAGAAAGCCTGACACAAGCCCAATCGGGAGCAGGCCCATCATACACACTATTCCTTTGCCGTGCCATCACAGTTGTGTTCCATCACTGTAATGTTGACCCCATATTCATCAACCCCAGTTTAGTAATAGGGGGTGTCCCCCTCCAAAAGTGATGATTCCCCACCAAACATGGGGTCAACGTTAACATGCTCTCAACACATTGCCAAAGAAAACGCAGCCACCCACCCAAGCTCAGTGTGTACTTTGCGGGCTGTTGAGTCAGTACCGTTTGCTGTGCAATTTGCGCTGTGCAGCATGCCACAGTGGAAAACAAGGCGGTAGGGGGAAACACGGACCAAGATGATGAGAACAGGGTCACGCTCCGACTGGCAAACCTGACTAAGAAAAATACGAGCTTGTCAGCAGTTTTACTCATCAACGCCTAGATCTAGACCCAACCACTCTGTCCACCGATTGGCTACGAGACATGCCGAACTCCAGTTGGGTTTGAAAGTTTCATGCAGTTTCAGTGCGTTTTTTCTTTTTGTTGGGGTGGTCCGGTTCATTGAGGTTGTGCAAATATCAGTGTTGAACACACTTTTGAGAGGGAGTTCGGGTGTTCCTGCAGTTGCGTGTCATTCCCTCATATAGAGACGCACCCAAATATGCGTCCCAATGGCAAGTGGGACCTAAGTAGACAGTTAAAAACAAACAAGATAAACACAAACACCCCTTTTGGCTTCTTCTCATTCAGTTCAACAACACGCCCCCTTTTGGCGTCTTCTCCTTCTACCCGCGTTTTTTGGGGGCACGTTGCGCACCGCACGGACAACAACACACTCTCCAGCTGCACAAAGGCGGGGTCGTTCTTCACGTTGGGCGGCACCCGGTACCGCCGGGCCGCGCCCTGCCGCAGCAACTCCGCGTTGATGAAGAGCTGGTCCTGGGACCTGACGCGCAAACGGTGCGGTGGGTGAAGCGGGTGAAGGGCTTTTTGTCGGGAAAGGGTGGCACGGGCTTGGCCAGAAAAAATGGTGTGTCCACTTTGGGGGGAAGGAAAAGGGGGTATTAATTTTTCATGTGGACGCTTGCAGCTTTTGGGGAATTCCAAGGCCTGCCATGTGGGTGGGCCCACTTCTCGGCGACTCCCCGATTCCCCCAAGAAAAAGTTTGCCTGGACACCGCGGAAACTCGAATGTGGCAAGGCTCTCCAGTCCAAGAATCTCCCAAACGACTTGCAACGTGATATCAAACATCATGATTGAATCAGGCAGGATCCGTACATCAAGTCAGCTAACTTGACAAGTTCAACCATTTGATCCAAGTGCCCATGAGCATACTGCCACCCTACAAACCTCATGAAGATGTAAAGCTATGACCTGGCAATGATTACAAACACCACACACACACATACAATTGCGAACCCAACAAAGCCATCTCTCTGTTCTTTAAAGAGGAGTCTCCTTTGGGGGGAGCCTTTTGGATTTCATGTACGTGCAGGGTATCCTACCCTCCGAGGGCTTGCGTTCGAATCCACCTCTGGATTCCCCTTAAGTGAAAAAGGAAAGTGGACTTTGAGAGCGCAATTGAAGGAATCCACATTTGGGTTTGTCCCTTTTTGAGGCCAAGCACTCACCCTATTTAAAAGGACAAAAAGGACAACCCATCATTTTTGGGCGTCCAACCCATCATTTTTGGGGGTCCAACCTCAAAACTGGCTCGCCCGGTTGAACCAACATCTGTACCCCGCCTATATAAGTAGACCAGCTGGCGCCCGTACTTGTCCACCTGCTCTTCATCAAGCTCTAGCCTCACTTTGGTACCAGGCGGAAGCCTCGGATCGTTCACTTTGGTTCTGCAAAGTCCATCTTCAAAACCTGATCACCGTTCAGAAACCCTAGAATGTTGATTCCCCTGTAAATACCAACGAGCCATGGTTTCAACCATGGTTTCAAAGTGGTGCGATTTGTGGATTTCGCAACCATCCACAAGAATCGAATCCCCACATGCTATTTTAGTCCCCCAGACCCAAGGACTGCCCCACCACCGCGGGTCCTTCTGATTTGCATCACTTTCGATTCGAAAAGACGCTCACTCGGAGACAAAAGCGGGGCACAGTTTCTTCGTCAGAGCGGAGGCTTCTGGCCCGTAGCAATCCGGCGGAGCACCTTGCTTCTGCCTGCGCGAAAAAAGATGGAGAAAATAAGGCGAACAGGTCTCCCCATGAGTTTCTCCGAAACATGTGGCTTTCCAATCGTCATGATGAAATGAGTCAACATTTGGGACGCTCCAAATGTTGAGCTTCATGCTACTCTTCCTTTGGTTTTGACTCATCCCCACGTGGGCCATGGTTACGCCTCAAGGGAGCCGATCATAGACTCAAGGCAAAGCAAAGGGAGGGAGGGAGCCCAAAGGCTGTCCGTTTGCTGATCCCCTAAAAAGTGTTCGACATTTCGTAAACGGATACCTACGGGGATGGATTCGACTCCCCAGGAGGTACCCGAAATTTGGGGCACGTACCCAAATCACTTGCTTGTCTTCCATTTGGTTAAAGCCCCAGGAGAAAAGAAAAAACATATTTCCAGTAGTGATGAATTCCTTTTAATTAAGACCAACGGGGAAAAAGGAACATTTCAGCAACAGGCTGGTTCACCCAGCCAAACCTGAGCTCGTTGCACATCTGGCCTAGGCGCCACTGTCTCAGGGGTGTTCATGCCGATGAGGCGGCAGCGGCCAGCAAATTCGAGCTTGACCTCGGTTGCGAAATCTGCTAAAAATGGCTCACTTTTATAGTGGTATACGGAAAACCCAGGTGGCCAAAAGTTATTCTGTCCTAACATCCCTTGGCAAAATGCACCAAAGAAACACTCTTAGGGGGAGAAAGCCCAAATAAGCCCTTTCTAAGCCCCTAATAAGGCCTTATTTGGGGCTTATTGGGGCTCCCTCCCCCCCCCTCTCTTCCCGCCCAGCCCCCATGAAACACCATGGGAAGCCATTGTTTGTTGGTACTTGCAGGGGAATCATTCATAGGGATTCTTAGGTGGTGCGAAATGGACATTGTCCATCCACAGTATTCCAAAGTTTGTGATACATGCCGACCCTCCTAGCACGCCCCCCCCCCCCCCCCCCCCCCACAAGGCCAATCTGGTCATTGTGGAGCACATGGCAGGCAGGTCCAAAGCATGTCCAAAGCAGCCAATGCTCGCATTTTCAACATGGCATCAGCCGCCGCCGGAAAACGCAGGCCCTGTGCATGCGTATCCGCGTCTTTTTGTTTTTCTTCGCCAAGCTTGCATGCTCTTAAACGGCGGCCACTAAAACATTGAAGAAAACCAGAGGGTGTGGTTGGTGCTTGTCTTTTTGGGAGGCATGGTACCCTTTTGGGGATGTGTTTTTCCCGGAAACCCAAAACGAACACGGACATCATTTGGTCCACATCCCTATTTTGACACATACCCTGGTGGCTAAAAACCGAGATCAGCTCCAGGCTCGCCTCACAAATGAGGCGAATTACGGCCCTTGTGTTTGCCTTCTGTTTTTTCCTTTCTTCTAAATAAAAAAAAAAATCAAAAGAAAAACAACAACATGTTTCGGCTTGAGAATGCACATCGCAAGCCGTGTGCCGCAAAATGCCGAGCTTGCTAGCTCTGAGCCCAGCGGAGCGGCGTAGGGAACACGTCGCGTAGGGAACACCAACTGAGCAAGGGAGACGGGCTGGTTGGCCCGGGCACGCACAACGTCACAACGCGATCCGCGCGGATATGCATGCAAGACGTGCACCAAATTCAGGTTGGCGCTTGCCACTTGAATATTTCTCCGAAAACCCGAAGCGACCAAACAACAAGTCCGCTAGGGATGGTTTTTGCTTTTTTGGTCAACCTTCCGGTCTGCGTGCAGTACGGTACATCCTCAGCCTCTTTTGGCTGAGGCTACCCTCCCAGCCTGAACTTCAACAACTGACTGACGGGTTGCTTGGACACAACGCGATATAAACATAGGTGTTCTTTTCGGGGAAATAGATGGCCCTGGTACATGATGAAACCACCAGGAAAACCAGGGCCATCTTAGGACCCTAGCCGGGCCTAGCCTACAAGATATGCGACCGCCTGGCTAGCACCCAACCCCTGTTTGGGAAGAATGCCAAATGCCGAAAGTACATCCACTTGCGCTGCCTCGATCATTCCTTCCCAGGACTCAAAGGCCAGCTTCGGATCCTGGTTTGCAAGGGAGAGATTGCCGGCAGGGTGGACGTCTCGCATTGAACACACTTGCTCAACACACTCGGCTTTTGGTATCTACATCTCTTTCAATTCGAGATCCTCCCTCAAGAGGCCTGTCCAACCCGCGGCAAGGAATGCTGATCGGCCCAAGTGGACGACTTTGCTCCCTCTAGACGTTCGTCGCTAACTCTCACTGCACCCGAAGCGACCAACAAAACAAATCCGCTAGGGACGGACCACTTTTTTGGTCAACCTTCAGCGTGCAGTACATCCTCGGAGTCTCTCGGTGGCTTCAGCCAGGCGCCGACGGAAGTCTGCGCCCACCTGCGTGGATGCCAAGCCCAGCAGCCCAGCCCAGGACATCCGCGCCAGGGTCTTATCCAACCTCCTGCGGTCCTGACGTCAGACCAAACCCTCCCCCCTTGCTTACCCCCACCCCAAAAAAAGACAAGAAGAAGAACTGACACACCTATCTCAGATTCGAGTCGGCACTCTCAGATATGAACAACTTCTAAGGTTTCTGTCTGCCTTAAAAAGAGTCCGAGGACGGACCATATTGATTCCCTAAACGTTTGTACTTGTAAAACCACCAAAAAAAAGGAAAAACAGCCGGACGCCAAACACAAATCAACAATTTGGACATCCAATGGAGGACATCCCTGGGGGCCCAATGATTTGTGCCCAGCGCGCAAACGCCTGCGATCATCCCCCCGCCTTCTCCGGGATCTCCGCCAAGGCTTGGGACCCGGTCATCTCCTGCGCCAACAGCTCCACCTCCACCAGTCGGAGGAGATCCCCTCGGAGCCCGCGAGCGCGGAGGTAGTAAAGCATCGTGGCCAGGAGCTGGCGATTTCCGGAGGTAGCCCAAGCCAAGAGCTAAGTGGTTCTGCTTTTCTTATTTTTTTAACCTCTGGTTTCCCTTTAGACTCCAACCCCACACTTCCCTTTAGACTCCACATACCCCAAACCACACCTACTGCTGCTATGCTCGAAGTATAAAAAGTCAAGGCAACCTCTTAGCCGGAACAATGGGGACCTCCACCTTCACCATTTGCAAATGTGTGAATGAACGAAGCACCCCTTGAATAGGGTCCCCCACAAGAATCGTCCGAAAACGACATGATTTACAGGATCCTTCAAGTCAGCTGGTGAATGTGCGTTAATTAATATTGGCAACATGCATCCTTTTAGAAACCCTGTGACAGCCCTGAACAGACCTCATTTCTAGCCCTTCAAATTGTTGAGTGGGGAAAGTAGGGCGATATTGGATAGTCCCAAATGTCCTCATGTGATCCCATCATACCCCATGAATTATCAGCATGGTCAGGAGAAGGCCAAGCAGGCGCACGCGGTGCATCGAAGGAGAAACAGAAGGAAAATGTGGACACCACCAGTCCGGCATTCGAGCCCAAAACAAGCCAAGTCATGTCAAGGGGTCATGGAGCCATTATCCTGAAATGGGGAAAGCATTCAAACACCTATGCCACACAAAGCTGCCAATATGGTATGTGGCAAATAGATTCGGCCCCCATGTTGCTTCATGAAGGACGATGGCCATGGACGAACCCAATTCGTGTTCAAGGGATACAGTACCGCTTCAATTGACGCCTTGATTTACCAGTAGAGATACAGTACCGCTTCATCGATGCCTGGATCTAGATCCACCCAAAACCCTTTTCGACTGCAAAACAAAAGCCCTCAGATCCCCCTCTAAAGCCTAATTTATTAAACTTTTAGTGGGATAAATGGAATCTACCACTAAACACTAAAAGGCTAAAAGGCTAAACGGCCCAACGGCTAAGGAACCGGATGGCTGGGAGCCACCAAGAAAACAAAGATCTGCAAACGCTACTCAAAAAATCCCAAAGCTGAACGGGATGCTTTCGCTTACCCCCAGACCCTCATGCCTGGACCTTGCTCAAGGAGCGCATGATCTCGCGCTGCCTCTTGTCGAGCTTCACCGTCCCCTCATGATCCAAGTGGCAAAAGCCGCAGTCCTCAGCCTGCCTACAGCGCCCCGTCCTCATGGCACGGATTGCGGTCGGTCTTTTTCAGCCCGTTTTTGCGGGCTCAGGGAAACCAGCAGGAGAAACACCATGGGGGCGTCCTCTAAAAAGAGACACCATGGATTTGTCACCAACCTCCAAGAAACACCAACTCACTCTGGACATTCTATAAAGCCATCTAGCCTACAGCTATGGAGCTCAGCCCCGTTCCGATCACATTTTCAGCCCGCCTCATGTAGATACAGGGTCGCCGGCAGAGCTCGGGGTGTCCACGGCTTCCCGAGCTAGCATCCATCGCTGGGACTGAGGGACTCGCCTCCGGTTCCTCCGGCAAGTCCTTTCGGCAACGTGGCGAAACCGCGGCGCTGTCAGAACCCGCCCCTTGGACTTCCGCGGAAAAAATATGTTTCTTGGCCTTTGATGCCTCATGGCTGGCAAGTCCTCCGCAAAAAAACAAAAAACATCAGAGCTGTTCACTCAACTTCGGATTCACCCGGAGGTTCTCCGGACTAATGATCGGAACTCCCCCCATCATGTGGGCCTATTTCTCATTGAACGGGCGTGCTGGTTAATATGCTCTCCACCGGGTGTAAATCTATGAGAGGACCCCCGCGCACATCAACCAAGCCATGCTTGAATCCGAAGTTGGTCTTAAGAGTTTGGTCTTATATAAAGAATAAACCGCGAGCAGCGCCTCAGTCTATGTCCATCCCGCCTCACTGCGGAACAAACAGCCGAAGCTGTAAGAATCAGCTATCTAACAAGCACGCTTTGCACGGGACATGGGGCCATGTGCAAACGCTGCCCACCATTAACCATAGAAATGTCAAACAATCAATCCCCACTAAAAGGGGACACCCCCCTATCAATCAACCAGGGGTTCTACTCCTGGGTGAACATTAGAGGATCATGGCTTCGATTGAATAAGAGTCCTCGCCCGGCTGAAGAAGACCATCCGCCTCTTGTGCCAGCTGCGCCACATAGCCCTGGAGCTCCCTTTCCCACGCCTCAGGAAAAACAAACAACACCTCCCTGACATGGGAAACACGGTCTTTTGTTGAAATGCAAGGGCCCAAATTGAACCTGAACTGGCGTTAGGGATCTTGAAATCAAGCTAAGTAATGATCATAAGAGAACCATATGGCTGTGGCTCAAAAAAACTGGAATTCCAAAATGGAGCCCTTTCTGTGGAAGCATGGGCCAACACCTGCGGTTTGCCCCGTCGGTTGAGTTTTGAGCCATATATGTGTGCCGGAATTACTTGGCCCATGCGCTTGGAAGGCCGCAGGGATCTCTGCTCAAAGTGGCGACCGCGTCGACATGGCCCGTGCCCAAGAAACGCAAAGGCAATGGCTGTGGGTCAAAACCCCGGTTAGCCCCCAGTGAACATCCGATTCAACCACTAAAATGGGCTCTAAAATGGGCCGTGAATTCACCTACCCCGAAATGGGATCCCATTGGTGTTGACCGGCCAAATAACTGCCAACAACACGAATTTCTGGCCTGGAAAAACGCCCGACGACCTTGTAACCTTCTACCCTACAATCGGATAGTGTCGGTTCTAGTTGCCTTGAATCTGCCAAAATGCATTACATGTACATTTAGTGAAAGGCTGTGACTTTCGAGCCCGAGCTGCCAAAGTGTACTTTGTAGATTGTAGATCGACTTTTGAGCTGGAGCTGCCAAAGTCAACTTCGTACATTATACTTGTACGGAAGCGTTGCCACTTTCGAGCCGGAGCTGCCCAAGTGTACTTCATACACTAAAATTGTACCGAGAAGCTGCGACTTTCGAGCCGGAATTGCCAAGGTGTACTTCGTGCAATACTTGAAAAACCCTAGCTTTTGCAATGCTTTGCAGCGTTTTAGCGAGACTGGCAGCTAAACAATCACATCGCCAGGGCCTCTTCTGGAAGTTCAGGGAAGGGCCTGCCCTACATAGCCGAAACTCCGCGGGGGTTCTTTTTCGACCCAGCTGGCGCGAGACAGTCGCGCCTCTACCATCGGCGCGGAAGGTGTCGGGGGCAGGCTGCGGGCGCGCCCTTGAGGTTCAGGTTCACGTGGTTCGTCAAGAGCTGTGATGAAGGTGTGGCGATACTCCAGGACCAACGCCATCCGAACCTAACCACTCAGGGCGGCCAAGACCCCATCGCAGCACAAAGCTGACCTGGAAAAAAGGGCCCTTCCGATTTTCTACCTGGTTTGGTCAGTGATGTTCGAAGCTCTCCCAAAAAGTAAAAGGTGTAGAAATCGGAGGTCTGCAAATCTCTCGGTCCTGTCCAACATGTCGAATAAGTTGTGAAAGGGCAAAATGTGATGTCAACCTCCCAGAACCATAATATACATGACAAACCCTTGGCGTCAGTGGCCGACATGCGGCTTCTTTGAAGCGAGCTACGTCGGATTTCATGGAACTTAGTCATTGGCCACCTCCCGCGCTCACGCCTGCTCCGCCATGTCTACTGGAAACCCTGGATGAACAAACCCTTGGTTGAGGGGCGTCCGCAAAAGTCGGAACCCTTGACTTTTGTCGATAATTCGGATGGATTTACGGGGGCGTAATTTCTTCCCAGAGCACAGAACGTTTCTAGTGAACCAAACGCATCTCTGTCGATGCAATGGAACATGGCAACCTATTGTAAGTTCCGAGCTTCATCCAAACGGAGAGAAAAAAAAAAGGTCAGCGGTCCAGCGGCCAAGCGGCAAAGACTACAGGCCCCAAATCCGGCTACGCTGAATGCGAAAGAGAAACTGCGGCAAGCGGAGATCCATCAACGAATGTGCAGCTGGCTTAGCAGTGGCTCTACGATTGCTTTGGACTCCATAACCACGCCCTAAAACAATCCCGAAAACATTACAACAAACTGTCAGCTGACCACCAAATCAGAGCAACTAGGCAACCCCCAGGTCCGAGCAGGGCCCATGTTTGTTTCGTTTTGTTCCCCACATCTTTGTGCGACGTGCTTATTTTTACCGCTGCGCCCGCCGCGGTCCATCGCCCGCGCCCGTCGCTCTCACTCATGTCACTCACTCACTCACTCACTCACTCACTCACTCACTCACTCACTCACTCACTCACTCCCTCACTCACTCACTCACTCACTCACTCACTCACTCACTCACTCACTCACTCACTCACTCACTCACTCACTCACTCACTCACTCACTCACTCTCACTCACTCACTCACTCACTCACTCACTCACTCACTCACTCACTCACTCACTCACTCACTCACTCACTCACTCACGCATTCTCACTCACTCACTCACTCACTCACTCACTCACTCACTCACGCACTCACGCACTCACTCACTCACGCACTCACTCACTCACTCACTCACTCACTCACTCACTCACTCACTCACTCACTCACTCACTCACTCACTCACTCACTCACTCACTCACTCACTCACTCACTCACTCACTCACTCACTCACTCACTCACTCACTCACTCACTCACTCACTCACTCACTCACTCAACGCACGCACGCACGCACGCACGCACGCACGCACGCACG